AAAAAAAAAAAAAAAAAAAAAAAAAAAAGAATTTGAAACCAAGTCTGGCATGGTGGCATACAAATTTAATCCCAACATGCAGAAGGCAGAGACAGGTAGATCTCTGTGAGTTGGAGACCTACTTGGTCTACAGTGTGAATTCCAGAACAGCCAAGGCTCTGTAGAGAGACCTTGCCTCAAACAAACAAATAAAACCACCTGAAACCAGCCTGGGCTACACAGTAATATCTTTTCTCAAAACATTTTGTAATATAGCTAATGAACGATATATTACAGATTTTCTACATACAAGTCAATCATGTTGATAAAGATTTTTGTGAGTTTAAAGCCTAAAAACAACTCAACCCAATGACCATGTTTTAGGGTCAAACTTGCTGGGTTTCAAAGTGAGGAGAAATGAGAGAAGAGGACAGCAATTGAAAGTAAATTGTCATCTTCATACTCAGGATGGACTACTTCATACCAGCAAGGAAAGTTACCAAATCACTGTCCTTTTTAGACATGTTAAGAGTCATCAGACTGACACAGCCCAAGTCATGCTGATTTGTGGTCACGCTACAATTCCACACCCAAGATCTGTTCTTACAGACACCATCTCTGGCTCTGTGAGAGTGTCAGCCGGTCTGAAGACACAGCTCCTTTAGGGACAGAAATGTCTTGAGTTATCTTGTAGTTTCAGCATAGACATATAGTGAGGGTCAGAGCAATAGGCGTGATCACCTCTCCCTCCCTCCCAGGAACTGGCAACACTGGTAGTTACTTCAGTATTCTGAGTTTGAGCTCATTCAGTAAGTACTGAATGAATATCACTATGACATGAATGTAGAGGAGTTTGAAGACCAAAAGAGTATGACTTTAAACACTACATGTATCGCTTTGAACTCGCACATAATATATCTCATCATTTAGCCGATATTTGAGCACCTACTGTGTGCTAGACACTGTGCTATTTGCTCTGAAGTCTATCATCAAACAAAACAGAGAAAGACCCTCACTTCATAGGGCTTACATTTCAGCAAAATATATAGATGCATAATTATAAAAATAAATTAAAACAGTTCAGAAACTATTAAGTGCTATTTAAAAAAAGAAGAGTGGGTAGGTGTGAGGAATTGGGAATGCTGGGTAGGGGAGAAATCTTCACCGTGGCCAGGTTAAAATAACATCAAGGTGCTTTACTGCCCTATGGACATGTAAGTAGGAAGGCAGTGGATGCAGGAACTCAGTGAGCCTGGCAGGCAGGGCAGGAGAGACCCCAGCGGCAGGCAAAGCCAGACCATGAAGGACCTTGAAAGCCACTTTAAGGTCATTGGATTTTTTTATTCCTTTTAGGATTACATATGGCATATATTTTTAATCAAAAAAGGAAAACTAAGTGAGTAAATTGTAGGCATACTAAAACTATCCCTTGGTGGTAAAATGCTAAAAGGAATTTTGATCAAAAATCCCTCATTTAAACCACTGCATGAGAATTAACATCTTATAAATTCTCTCTAGAGTTAACTCTGCAAAGTAGGAAGTACAACATATTAACAAGAGCCCTTGACTGTAGTATGCAGTGGATGAGAATGTTAATCTTGCAACGGCTGCCCTCGTGGGCATTGAAAGCACTTGTTAATTCTCCTATAATAAACACCCAAGATCCATTCTCCAAGCTGCTATTAGCAATCTGTTATGAAAAGCACAGCCATGCTAATATCAACACACAAATATAATCCAGTGCCTATAAGACAAGGAATTAGTGGCAGCTTATTGTCTTACACAAACTTAATTAATTTGGCAACCATGACAGAGAATTAAAACATTTTTGGGACCTATGTAACAGACCATACAGTTTAAAAAACAATAAAAGTGTAAGAACAATCTGTGCGTCATATAGCAACTCAACAAGTGGGTGAAAATACAAATGAAATAAGTGGAATTACGGGCCATCAAGATGGCTCAGCAGTCAAGGTGCTTACAGCCAAGGAAGACAGGGTGAGTTCAATCTCGGGAATCCAAGTTGTCCTTCGACCTCTACACAAAGGCGGCCGGGTCGAGAGTGTTGACATTGATGATAGTGAGGAGTGATCAGATTCCGGCATTACTCTGAAAGGTCAGCCACCAGGATCCCCTGCCTCTGCCATCGGGGGTGTGATGTACAAGGAGGAGGAGCTAAGGAACACTGGAGGTTTGAGGCCTGACTCTCTGGAAGGACAGAATTGCTGTCTCCCAAGATGAGGACATGAGGGACAGAGCAAGTGCGGGGGAGTGAGATCAGGACTTCACATTGATGTTATGTCGGAAACAGCCAGTGGTCGTGCGAATGGAGACATTTAAGCAAGTATTTGACATACAGCCCTGGTGAAAATTCAGTGAAAGTTATCTCTGGGCTAGAGATACCAGAGTCGTGTATTGTTTGAACTCGGGAAACTGGATGAAACTCCCAGTGAACACAGATCAAAAGGACCAAAGAATAAGACTTGGGACATGCTCATGTTAGCGGTGGGGCAGGGAGGGGCCCAGCAAAGAAACTTTGAAATGGCAAGATGGGAAGTGATGGGGAATATTAGGAGACTATGTGAAGCTAACCAAGAAAACAGCTCTCAACCAAAGAGGGCAGGCCATGAAAACTGGTCACTTAGACATTAACATGTCACCTATCTGATCCATGAGATTTGTGTCCATAATACTGGGACTGTGAGTGAATAGGCTTAAAAAAAGGGAGGTTACTGACTCTTCCTTTTTAAAAAGTCAACTGCAAGCAGTCATGGTGGTATGGACCTGAAAACACAAACACACACACACACACACACACACACACACACACACACACACACACACGTCAAATGCAAAAAAATAAAATGAAATTTCCAAACTTGCTTTGAGAATAAGCATATATATGCTTTTTCACAGACAGAGCTATGAGAACACACATTATGCTTCTGAAGTTTAAAGAAAAGCAAATTGAAAAATTCAACCGAGTTGCTCAAAGCTCCAGTTCTAACATAACACTTCTCACTCAGGGCCAAGCGTCAACATTTCCTCTACTTCTCTAAGCAGAACTTGTCTTTCTCCTGCAAATCTGTGAACCAAGGGTTAACATGATTTATTTTACCTACTTTACAGCTTTATTGTGAGGGCCAAATGGAGTAATATGCAAAATTAATTGATATATTGCCAACCTTATAACCAGAAATCCACAAACTTTCCTTTGGTAAATGGCAAGCATTAGGAAAGCTGAGCTATCCATGTCTCTGAGTATTTTCATCTTTTAGTACCAAAGAGAATTAGAAAAAAAACATAAGAAAAGCTGGGCTTGGTGACACACATCTGTAACTAGGAGCCAAGGAAGGAAGGAAGCAAGCTTTACAACAGCTGGCCTGAGCTACAGACTGTCTCAGAGCAGGGAGGAGGTGGGTACACGGTAAATGTGTCCTTGACCTTAGTCTCTTAAGACGGTAGGTTGGTAAAGCCGACTCGCTCTCAATGACCCATATTCCAACAGAAACTATTTCAGTGCTTTTAGACAACTGAAGGAATGAAAAGGACTGTCAGATCAGTTCTTTTCTACCATGACTGCCACATGACTCAGATGACTCTCCCCAGTCCTTCCCCGTACATCTCATCTCCAGCCCAGCTGCTTCCTCAACTGTCCTGGCGAGGGGACAACACGGAGCATTCAGAAATCAAAATCATTCTTACACCCAGACATGCTCCCCACCTCATCACCATTCGTAGCTCGGTTACTTTCTGAACCGTGCATAGGAGTCCACAGAGGACTTTTGTAGTTATTAGCTGACCCTCTAGGCCCAGTAATTTTCTGAGCCAAAACTTTTAACTAAAGAAAAATTGTAGCTATCCCTACATAGACTATAAGGTTTAAAAAAAACCCTCCAAGTCCACACGTGTAGTTGGTACATACACAAAAGAAAAACTGAAGCAAATGTCATTTTGTTATCACTGAACTGCATTTATTTTCCACCACACACAGGAAGGAAGGGGAAAAAGAGGAGGAGGAGGAGGAGGAGGAGGAGGAGACAGAGATCACCTTTGAGAACATTTTGCTAAGGGCCAATCCCCTGACATCCTTACTCTCGTTTCCCATATAAATAGGCTGAATTTTAACAATATGAACTGCTTGAGCACTTGAAATCCTAATTTCCCTAGAACTTTAAGGTTCTTCTCTAATGTAAAACTTCCCTATCATTTCTCAAATTCTTTTCTGAAGAGAACTCCTGTTTTTCCAGAAGTATCCCACAAATAGATGGACTGTCTCTTTGTGTCAGTCACTGGCAATTTTGTTAACCACTTAATTTCTGCATTCATCTGTTGAAAATTATTAACAGTAACAAGGTCACTACACTAGCTTTATCCCTGAAGAAGATCAGCAGGCTGCTTTGAGAAGTGGCCTGTCGGATCTTTTTTATTACATTTATTTTGGTGAATGGGTTCACAGTTGCTGCACTGGAGGTCAGATGAGTCTCTCCTTCCATCATGTGGCTCCGGACATCAAACTCAGGTTGTCAGATTTGGGGGCAAGGGCCTTTCTCCACTGAGCCTTCTTACCCATATCAAATATCTTACCTTGGTATAATTCATTCCAAAATTTTAGTCGCCCTTTTAAAAATTGCTGACACATACCATCAGACTCATTGTTTAATAGTCTGGTGGGGGAACTGTTATTGTTTGAAAGACTCTTTAATTCCCGGAGTCTGGGGTCACAACCAGGCCAATGTCTGAGGCCGACTTCAGCCTGACCTGTCTTGCTCTTCTGGATCGCCCTGTGACCTGATGATACTTACTACGAACAGAGCCAAAGATGCATACTCACCAAGTGGACATAAGGCACAAAGTATCCAAAAAGTGCAAGTGGTATTCCAGCAGCCCACACTGCATAAGCTGTCACCTTGAAGATGGCAAAATTGAAAAATTTTTTTGGAGGACTAAACTTTCTCCTGGAAAAGAGGGAGAATCGGCTGCTCTCGCTCTCTTTCTCTTTGGCACTGGAAACAAGAGGTCGGTAAGTGAAGCCAGCCAGAAAGAGAACGAACATGAAGATGCAGAGGACTCTCAGGGTGTGCAAGAGGCCCACGCTCTTGGTCAGATTCCCTAAAAGCAGAGGGAGCAAAATTGTGAAGACGCTGCTGCCGGCCGTGACGATGCCGTTAACTAGTCCGAGGCGCTTCTTGAAGTAGTGTCCCAAGATAACCAGTGAAGGCTGGTAGGCAAAGGAGCAGCCGCAGGCAAATATGATTCCATAGGTAAGGTACAGAGGCTCGATGGAGCTGCATAAAGATGAGAGAGACAGAGAGCGGCTTTAATCTTTTTCATGGTGCTGAGCAGAATAACACCTTCTATAGGAGGCTGGAGAGACGGCTCGGCAGTTAGAGCAGAGGACCTGGACTCTGTTCCCGGCACCCCCATGGCAGTTCACAACCACTGTAACTCCAGCCCCAGGGGATCTGGTGGCCTCTTCTGGTCTCTGTGGGCACGAGGCATGCACACATGTGGAATTAAACATCCATACACATGAAATAAAATTAAATAAATAATTCTTGAAAGGAATTCCCTTAGTAAAAACAGATCTTGTCAACATGTTTTCTGAAAATAAAAAAATGTGGAAAGGCTTAATAAATCAAGACTACAGCAGTAAAATATTTTAATTTAATCTGAATGAGTGAAAAAAGACCATTAAGGTCACCAGTGAATCTGCTCCCCTTTGCCTGCCAAGGATTTCTGGTGAACCATACACAGCATTGGGTAAGGACTATGTTCTCCACAGCTTAGAAATAACGAGAGCTGCCAGGAAGGGACAATAAAATCTTGTTCAATAGTGCTTTTAAATTACAATTTAACTATGCACACACATTATTTTTATGGCCTTTTCCCAGGTGCTTACTAAGCAATATAGTCAGAGAAAAGACTGTCTGGCATTGTCTCCTCGGCGTCGTATCGAGAATATGTGCATGGGGAAGCAGTTGTGCGCCGCCCCCGCCACCCCAGCTGTCAACCAACCTTCGCCCTGGATTGCGCTGTTGCCAGCATTGTGCAAGATAAGAAGAAATCATATTCAGATTGCATTAAGGCTGAATTAAAGTGTGCTCAGCAGTGATTCCAGTCTGCAAGCTTTTGAAGTAACTCATTACTGGTCTCAAAAGAATACAAGAATTTTTAATTTAATCAAATAACCATACATCTCTTGGAAAGGTAAAGTCTGTGCTTGGAAACAGTCAAGGTAAGGACTAGAAGAAAACAAGTTCAAATTTGTCTTCTTTTTCTTTCTTTTTTTTCAAAGTCCAATTCAAAAGGCTATTTATCAGTAGATAAAGCTGGTTAATAATTACATTTTGGATAATAATGCTCACCTACCAATATGCTGAGGGACTCACAAGGAACTCCAATCTGATCAAACTAAGGCACGTTGGCAATCCTCTGAGAGAGAGCACTTCCCCTTGGACTAACCCACATCTAGTACCACCTTCCCGTCCACCTTCCCGTTACCGCTAGGCCTTCCAGATCAGTGTCTCACTTCATTCTGATCACTAGTTACCAAATCTCCCCTCTTCTGTTTCTGTGTTGGTTTTGCTCTTTCAAGACAAGGTTTCTAGCCCTGGCTGTCCTGTAACTCACTCTGTAGACCAGGCTGGCCTTGAACACTGAGATCCACCTGCCTCTGCCTCCCGACTGCTGGGATTTAAAGCATGCACCACCACATCCTGCTCAAATTTCCACTCTTGATTCACATTAAACAGAAACTTGGTGGGAAAGATTGAAAAGTATATCTTCAAGTTTGTATTCGCAGTCCGCATAAAGCAATACTTCTATTCCTATCCCCAGTAAGAATCACATAGAACAAATAATGCTTCCTTTCACAATTGTTTTAATTCTTATTATTTTATGTGTATGGGGGCTTTGCCTGAATGTACACCTGTGCACCATGTGTGTGCCTGGTGCTCACAGAGGCCAGAAGAGTGCCTTGAAGCCTCTGGGACTGGAGTTGTAGACAGTTGTGAGCTACCTCGTAGGTGCTGGAACTGAACGCTCTGTAAGAGCAGCCAGTGCTTGATCCCCGGGCCATCTCTCCAGCCATGCTTCATTCTTTTTTGGCGGG